AAAAGTTGTATTGGTGTCATTTAGGAAATGATCCAAAGTATATTTGTCCCAAAAATCCCCCAAATTTTAATTATTTTATTGTGTGTGTGTGGGGGGGAAGTTTAGCAAAGTTAAGATTTGCATCCCTGTGTTTTTCTTACCATTTCAACCCCCGCGGTCACAGAGTACTTCTCTTCCTTTGTGAGGGTTCCAAGGACAAACCAGCCAACTAATTCTAATTACAAAGGCTGTTTTCTCCAACCAACTTTCAGTGTAAAAGGATAATAAGTAGATTGTTATTGAATTTAAGAATATATGCTAAAACAATCCACACTCAGAACAAAAAAATTAATCTCAAAGGATCTTACCTTTGTTTGAAAACCACACCGTTTCTTTCCTGCTGTGGTCTCAGGGTCGCTAGGGTCTGGTTTGGTGGGGAGCCTTTGGAAGGAAAATATGTAGTCAAGAATGAGTTCTGGTTCTTTAGAACTGGCTCACCCCACCTGTGATAGTGTCAGGCACACGAAACTGTGTTGTGTAGAAAACCTACTTCTCTATGCTGAGGTTCAAAAACTCATTCTATACTATAGCCACTCTGTTCTTCTCAGAGAGAAGCTGGCAATGTTTTTGAACTGGCCTTATGAAGAATATATGTGACTTGATGTTTATCAATGACAGTCTTCTAATACATTTTTAGGTAAACACATATAAAAACATTTCTCTTTAATGAATGAACATGTTAAAAACAATTCATTTGGTAGTTTTTCATAGGAACTGGGGAATGTTATACTAATAATTGTATTATTTGATTAAAATCAAATGTAGTTGGTTATGAAATGTAAGAGATAAAAAAGTCATATTTGGGAGTTTGAGAAGAGTTACTGAGTGCAGGAGACTATATCAAATTTAATAAATATATCCCAAATTCTTGATTCATCATGAATATGATGATATAGACCCCAAATATTCTAAACTCATCTGTATTACTAAAAGCAATCTGATCCTCCCTTCTTGGTATCTCTATCCTTAGAAATGGCCATGAATCTGCCTTTTAATTACACTCTCATCTTCAATAGCCTTCAATATTCTCCTATACACACTTCATCTTTAAAGCCCTGACCTCCAGAATGATAAATAAAGGCTACTGTCCTTAGACCTAAGGGCATGAGGTCAGATTGCATTGCCACACTTACTGTGCTCAGTCCCTAAAATTATGACACCACATGGCCTTTCCATAGACTCTACACAAGCAAAGGAACACACAGCTGTAGGAAATGAAGATAAAGTAAAGCAGGAAAACAAGAGCAACAAGTGTGTTCACTGTTGATGAGAACAGATCAGATAAAATTTAAGGAAGTGGGCAACAGTAGTAGCTCCAGGGAGACACAAACAGGGAGTCAGGAAAATAAAAACCAAGGGCAGTGATGGCACGTGCATGCCTTTAATCCCAGCGTGTGGGAGGCAGAGGCAGGCAGATCTCTGAGTTTGAGGCCAGCCCAGTCTACAGAGTGAGTTCCAGGACAGCCAGGGCTACACAGAGAAATGCTGTTTAAAAAAAAATGAGTAATTCAAATAGCTTATGGACAGATTTAACACTGATAACTGAACATTCTCTACATGTAGAAATGGTTTACTTCCAGAAAAATAATTTCTCTCCAGAATTGCATGATTTTATTATGTATAAATTGATGGTACTATGGCCACAGGTTTGAGATCTGCCATCAATCCTTCAGTGGTGAAAACAGGCATTGGTTATGACTGCAAAAATTATTAAGTACCACCAAGCTTGTTGGGAACACTCAGTGAATGAGTTCACATATGCCTGGACTTTGTGAACTGATGTTATATGAAGCAGTTTCTTGTGTCTATTGATTATGAAGAAGAGCAGGAAACACACCCAGAAAGTGCACAGGCCAATCACATGGATCAGATTCCTGGCAGTTACAGAAGCCACCTACTGGGGAAAATGGGTTATGACAGACAGCGTGCTCACTTTGCAAAGAAGCTGTGATGATTGAAATAGTAAGAGTCAGGCAGGTCATGTGGCAGGAGCCGGAGAGCACTAACAAGCACCAGTCTCTTTTTTCTGAGCTTAAATGAATCTTTAAAACCCTACCTTAGGATCGAGTAGGATTCAGTACTTTCAGCTGATTCTAAAGGTAAAGGAAAAATATATTGTTAGTCAGCAATATAAAATAATAGAAAAGAGATAAGTACAATGTATTAAAAGTGTATATTGGACGATTGTTTGGGAGCATGATAAATTTGGAGCCATACATCAACAGAATTCTAGTGGCAGGCAATCCACTCTCCAAAAGCTCATGCTTCCCCCAGTCTGGGTTCTTCAAAGCAAAAGAGGAGGAAACTTGTCAATGCACAATGACCATGACTGTAACTGCACACCACCAGACTGACAGCAATGATGTTATCAGAAGAATCAGTGTGAGAGGCTGACAGTGTTAAGCAAGTAATGTGACTGCCCTGGGCTAATGGCACCAGGATCAATGCTAAGGGTGTGTGCTTTTTTATTTTTAATTATTTTTTCATTTTTATTTTACCTGTGTGGATGTTTTGCCCACATGCAAATCTGTGCACCTCCTGTATGTCTGGTGCTTGCAGAGGCCCGAAGAGGGCAGTGGATCCCCTGGAACCTGAATTACAGATGTGTTTGAACCATCATGTGGGTGATGGAACTTGAACCTGGGCCCTCTGGAAGAGCCGCTAGGATCACAACCTTTCCTCTTTGTGAACTTGTTTTGGTATCACACAACACAGCTACTGCAGGGTTTCAGGGGGAAACTTCTCAGTTTTTTCTGATAAAAAGCCCCTGCCATAAGCAACACCTATAAATGGTAGTGGTCCTGTAGCTTTGCAAAATGTAATGGGCAGAGGAGGAGCAAGGATCCTTTTCAGTCTCCAGACTCCAGCAGAAGGAAATATGGAGAGGCATCAAGACGTTGCTCTTGTTTGGGAACACTAACAACCTCTCGGGTCCAGCTGTGCCCTCTACCATGTGTGCAATGTAAATGGCTCAGTTGTCTGCCCTGGAACATGTCAGTTCACGGGGAGAACATTCCCTGATGAGCAGTCCACTCCTTACCATACTTACAGCCAGAGATAGGCTTGAAATGCACCATACAGGGAAAAAAGTTGTTATCTGATGTCAAAAATATAGAAATAAAATCATCTCCTTCAGGCTTCAGAATGGGTCAACACAGGGCTCTCTGTATATAAAGAAAACATTCTTTACATCATCTAAAGCATGAAAAATATGTAGTGGAACTCTTTTAGCTTTTCCCCAGGACATATAATCTATTACACTCATAGAAAAGTAAGGTAATGTATATTGCAGAGTGCGGTGTGGTGTGGTGTGTGTGTGTGTGTGTGTGTGTGTGTGTGTGTGTGTGTGTGTGTGTGTGAAGTATGGCTTCTTTAGCATGTTGTTAGCTGTGACGGTCTGAATGAGAATGGCCCTCATTGGCTCATATGTTTGGACACTTCATCCCCAGTTGGTGGTAGTTTTTGGGAAGGATGAAGGACTGGGTCCTTGTTAGAGGAGGTGTGTCAGTAGGGATTGGCTTTGAGGTTTCAAAGGCCCATGATATTACTAGCTAGTTCTCTCTGTTGTTAGATCTCTCTGCTGATCCAGTACCACACCTCCCTGGCTGCTCTCTTGTCCTCTATCATCATAGTCATAGACTTGAAACTTCTGAAACTGTAAGTCCCAAATAAACTCTTTCTTCTATAAATTGCCGTGATTACAGTGTCTCTTAACATCAGTAAGAATGTAACTAAGACAGGTGTTAAGTCCAAGCCCCATCACTAGGAAATAAACATGTTCAAATGTAATGATTTCTAAAGGAACTTCACTAGGTTATAAACTTACAGACTGTACTCAACGTTCATCCCTTGCATTTTTCACATGTAACAGAGTGTCTCTTATTTAGATTTGTCCCAGTGAGGGTCAGCTGTCAACCTGACACAACCTGCAGTCTTCTAAAGGAGTCTCAATTGAGGAATTGCCTACCTCTAGCCATATCTGTGAGCGATTGTCTTGTTTGATGTGGGAGGGCTACCCAGCCCACCGTGGGCGGCACCATCCCTAGGCAGGTGGGCCTGGGCTATATAAGAAAGCTAGCTGAGCATGAGCTAGGGAGTGAGCCAGTAAGCAGTGTTCTGCTTGAGTTCCAGAGAAGCAAAATAGAACAAGACCCTAGCCTTATTTCCAAAGGAAAGATAGATATGAAAGTTACTATGATAGCCATTTTATAAAGTATAACTTCCTAAGAATATATCCTCCAACTTTTGCAAATGTGTGACTGGATGTAATTGAGCAGGATGACCATGTTTCTCCTGGATATTACAGCATAAAGACATTCCTCTCAGCCATTCTCATTCTATTGCATATCTCCAAAGAAATCAAGTTCTTGGCACATATGAAAAGCATTCCATCAAAGTTTACATCTATAAATAATAATAAAAGAAACTATAGAAGGCAGGCGCATTTCAATGGGATAGCACTTATCCGGAAGTGGGGAAACCCTAGCTTCAATTCAAGAACACAAAAGGAAAACAATGTTTTCAGGTTACACTGGTTTAGGAAGCAAAATATATTTAATTATTAACTCATTAAACAGCTGTGATTCTAGACAAATAAGCAACTTAAAATACAAAAATCATTTTATAGGTTCACCTTGTAAATGTCACTATCATGATTTTATTTACATCTTACTTTTTTTAATTAAAGAAAGGATTATCTAGAATAACTTCTATTCCAGGTCTTACCTAGAATGCTTTCTTGACAAGTTCCAAGTCTCTTTTCTTCATGTTTTAAAACATCTTGTCTTTTTCCATAAATCAGAAAAATGATAAGCAAGAATTACTATTTTAGTAGAGCTCTGAAAACATGTAGCACAGACTTTAATTTCTTTAAAGAATGTTTCATTAAATAAGAAGTTGTCACCTATATTTCAAATGTATAAACTCTCAAAGTTTTGTGGCATTTGCAATTAAATAAATGGATAAAGACAAGAATAAGACCAAGTGATACAGACACTAACCAATGTCTCAAGGTCACACATCTACCAGGTGTGAAACCTAGGAATTAAATGACTCTTGTGTGAATCTAAAACCTACTGTGTTCTTGTTATCATCCACCTATTACCTATGTTCACTGATGAATGGTTTATGAAAATAAAGTTTACCACAACTTCCTGTGCTCACTACACATAAAGTCTAAGACACTATTTTTAAAAAAAATGTAAAAAGACCTAAATGGATTCTAGTAGTCACAATCAACAGTCACTCAGAAATACCATCAGGTGAACATCCCTCAGAGATAGCACTCTGAAGCATGGCCAACCAAACGAGGAAGCGTTTCAATTCCTGTTGTGCTTAACAATGTACAATAAGACATGCACATTAGAAGCAACAATGAAAAAGAATATAAGATGTTTATGCTCAATATTGAATAGAATATGCACAAGTCTGTATTTTACAAAACAGTGAAACTAATGTGGAATCGTTTAGCATCATGTGACATAAGACCAGGCTGTGAATAATAAGTCCCATGCATCATTAACATGGAATACCAATTCTTTCAATACTTCTTTTTTGTGCCTGCACTGAATAGTTTGTTTATAAATTAATTATGCTTTAAATGGTTATATGAATGTAGTTGGCCCCCATAAGCTCATAGGGAGTGGCACTGTTAGGAGGTGTGGCTTTGTTGGTGTAGGTGTGGCTTTGTTGGAAGAAGTGTGTCACTATGGAGGTGGGCTTAAGAGGTCTCAGATATGCTCACGCTACATCCAGTGTCTCAATTCACTTCCTGTTGCCTGTGGATCAAAGATGGAGAACTCTCAGTTCCTTCTCCAGCATCATGTCTGCCTGCATGCTGCCATGTCCCACCACAATGATAATGGATTGAATCGCTGGACTGTAAGCAAGTCAGGCCAATGAGATGTTGTCCTTTATAAGAATTGCAGTGGTCATGCTGTCTCTTTACAGTAATAGGAACCCTAACTAAGACACTTCGTTTTGATAACTATGTCTCATAAACTAAAAATGAAAATTGTTCCTTCTATTTAGTTTTTCAGATCTCAGCACTAACAGCAACCACTGCAGAGCACAGTAAGGCTGTTACTCAGAGAAAAGAAGAAGTGGGGTTACCTCTCTAGCTTGACAGCTTCAGTAACTGAAAATTCTTTTATCTGTGGTTTGTTTTCCTCCAGAGGAGTTATAAGTGATACTAGTTCATCCTGTACAAAACCAAAAACAGTAACTCAATAACTCATAAAATGACACATATTCAACATAATTTAAAATCTTCTAACATGATGGTGTAAGGCAGATAGAAAATAAATGATATCTCTTCCCTCCATTGGGCCCTCACCTGTGCATTTCTTTCCCTATGAAATGATGCTCACCAACTGGGGCCATCACATCTTCTAGACTCAGTTCATGAAGGAATGAGAAAAGGTTTGTATCTCAAACAGAGGGAGGATGTCACAGATTGCCCAGTGAAAGGAGGGAAAACAAAGAGCAAAGAGAAGTGGAGCTGTGTTCCCTGTAGAGGGAAGGGAAGCAGAGGCCACATCCAAAAGGCACAAACCACTGTCCTCACCAGCTCAAACCTAGTGGAGGATGTAGATGAAGCAGCGACTCTTCTATGGACAGGTCAGGTAGTGATGAAGAGAAATCTCATGTGCTGCTGCTACATGAAACATGGAAAGGCAAGGCAAAATGACCCCTTTAACAGATCACAACTCTTTAGACAGAAATCAAAGATACGCAGATGTGTAGAATATCAGAAGAGTGTAACATTTTCTGGTAAAAAAAATAAAATAAACAACCAAAGACCTGAAAAAGAATGCAGACTAGGAGATGAATTCTATTCAGGACCTGCAGGTATGAGTCAGCAGCTCATAGAAGCACGATGGCTGAGAAAGTCAGATGTGCGGATAACAGGGTCACCAACATGGGCGTACAACTCGTACAACTCAGCAGGAAACTGAGATTTTTTTTCCCCACCAGAAAACACTGAAGCTTGATAAATACTTTCAGCAAATTTATCAGGATACAAAATCTACATATCAAATTCAGTAGCTTTCTACGCACCAATAACAAACTAACCTGATGTGGGATTCTCCTCCGTATGCCGTGAGTGTGTTTTATTACCATTGGTTAATACAGAAGCTGTTTTGGCTAATAGCTTAGCAGAGTAAAGTCAGACAGGAAATCTGAATGGAGATATAGAAAGAGAGTAGGTGGAGCCAAGTAGATGCCATGTAGCTGCCAAAGGAGAAAGATGCCAGAACCTTACCAATAGGTCACAGACTCATGGTAATACACAGATTAATAAGAAAGAAATTGAAGAAGACACCAGAAAATAAAAAAAAAATCTCCTGTGCTCTTGGGTAGGTAGAATTAACATAGTAAAAATGGTAATCTTACCAAAAGCAATCTACAGATTCAATGCAATGCCAGTCAAAATCCCAGAAAAATTCTTCACAGACCTCAAAAGAACAGTACTTAACTTCATGGAAAAGCAAAAACAAGGTTGGTCAAAAAAATCCTGTTTAAAAAAAAACCTTCTGGAGGCATCACAATCCCTGCCTTGAAACTCTTCTACAGAGCTACAGTAGTGAAAACAGCCTGGTATTGGGATAAAAACAGACATGTAGAACAATGGAACGAATGGAAGACCTACATATCAATTCACACACCTACGAACATCTGATCTTTGACAAAGAAGCAAAAAAATATAAAATGAGGAAAAACATATTCAACAAATGGTGCTGGCATAACTGGATATCAACATGTAGAAAAATTCAAATAGATCCATAGCTATCACCATGTACAAAACTGAAGTCCGTATGGATGAAAGACCTTAACATACAACCAACCAAACTGAACCTCATAGAAGAGAAAATGGGAAGAATACTTGAATGCATTGGCACGAGAGACCACTTCCTAAATATAACCCCCACTTCCTAAATATAATCCTAGGAGCACAGAAACTGAGACAAAGAATCAATAAATGGGACTTCCTGAAACTGAGAAGCTTCTATAAAGCAAAGGACACAGTCAACAAAACAAAATGGCAGCTACAGAATAGGAAAAGATCTTCACCAACCCCACATTGGTCAGTGAGTTCATCTCCAAAATACACAAAAAAGTCAAGAAATTGGTCATCGAAAGAACAAATAATCCAATAAAAAAAATTGGGTACAAACATAAATAGAGAGCTCTCAATAGATGAATGTAAAATGGCAGGAAGACACTTAAGGAAATGCCCAACATCTTGAAACATCAGAGAAATGCAAATCAAAACAACTGAGATTCCATCTTATACATGTAAGAATGGCTAAGATCAAAAGCTCTGATGACAGCTTATGCTGGAGAGGTTGTGGGGAAAAGGGAACACTTCTGCATTGCTGGTGGGACTGCAAACTAGTACAGCCCCTTTGGATAACAGTATGGTGTTATCTTAGAAAATTAGGAAACAATCTACCTCAAGACCCAGTAATACCACTTTTGGATATATACCCAAGGGATGCTCAATGTTGCCACAAGGACATGAGCTCAAGTATGCTCAAAGCAGCAGTGTTTGTTATAACCAGAACCTGGAAACATCCTAAATGCCCCTTGACTGAAGAACAGATGAGAAAATGTGGTACATTTATACAGTGGAGTATTACACAGCAGAAAAAATAATGACATTTTAAAATCTGTGGGCAAATGGATGGATCTAGAAAACTTCATATTGAATGAGATAACCCAGACCCAGAAAGACAAATATAATATGTATGTAAAGTAAAGAAAAACCAGCCTACAAATCACAATCCTAGAGAACCAAGACAACAAAGAGGACCCTAAGAGAGACATGCATGGATCTAATCTACATGGGAAGTAGAAAAAGACAAGATCTCTTGAGTAAATTGGGAGCATGGGGATCATGGGAGAGGGTAGAAAAGGAGTGGGGAGGAAGGGAGGGGAGCAGAGAAAAATATATCCTTCAACAAAAAAAAATTACTACAAGCCAGCTACTACAACTATTAACACCAGCATTCGGAAAACAGAGGCAGGAGGATTTCTGTGAGCTTGAGGCCAGCCTAGTCTTTATAGTGAGCTCTCAGACATCAAGGACTACATAGAGCAGTGATTCTCAATCTTCCCAATGTGACTCTTTAATACAGCCCCTCATGTGCTGACCCCAACCATGAAATCATTTTTGCTGCTTCTTTATAACTGCAATTTTGCTACTAATTTTGAATTGTAATGTGGTGTAGGAGGTTCTTTTGTTCATGTGTTGCTTTCATTGGATAATGAATAAAGAAACTGCCTTGGCCTAGTTGATAGGGCAGACTTAAGTAGGCAGAGAAGACAGAACTGAATTCTGGGGGAAAGAAAGCAGAGTGAGAGAAGCGCCATGAAGCCTCCAGAATCAGGCGTGCTCAATCTTTCCTGGTAAGCCACAACCTTGTGGGGATATACAGATTAATAGAAATGGGTTAAGTCAAGATGTGAGAGTTAGTCAATAAGAGACTATAGATAATGGGCCTGGCAGTGATTTAATTAACACAATTTGTGTGTGGTTATTTCGGGTGTAAGCTAGCCGGGAGGCCAGGACAAACAAAGGGTCACCCTCCTCGTGCAACAATTTGGTGCCCAACATAATGGACTAAATCCACTTAAAAACCTGAGAGAGCTTAATTCTAGACACACATAAAAAACAGAGTTCAACACAGCTTTTTGCTGTTTGCTGGTGGCATGCTGCAGAGAGATTTTTCCTGACTCAGCAATAGTAGCAGGGGGGGCGGAAAATCGCGCCATTTTAAAACAATGCTTCCTGGGCCCTGCCACCAGTGCAAACTCCGGCTATGGAGCATTTATGGGCCTGGGTGTTTGTGTGCCCACTCAGGGTCAGGAGGAAAGTAGCTGAGACCTTGCCTGTGGCTCAGCTCTTCCTGCCTGGGCAGGTGACTGGATCAGGTCTATTAGGCTTGGGCAGGCAGGAAAGCATGACGGACTCCCGCTGCCATATAGAGATATGTTTTCAGGCTACACAGTGCTCTACGTGGCAGATTTGGCTATAACTCAGATAAAAAGAGTTTTTGTGCTGCATGCTCATTCTTGGGGCTGGACTGCTGAACGCAGCTCCTGCCTGGTGGCCAAGAGCTAACACTGGTGGTGCTTCCACCATTTTAAAATTGGAGAGAGGCAGAGCCAACATCCAGAGCAGCCGCAACCAAGCTGCTTAGCATTTTAAAAGCTCTTCTAGACAGCAAAGAATTACAGATTTATTCACAATAAGACGGATTTAGACATAAATGACCTCTAAATGGGTCACAGTGTTGGATAAATGTACATAGGCTTGGGAGAGAAAAGATAAAGAGTATCAAGAGTCATAAAGTTAATGCTTTAATAAAAAGGCAGAGTCTTCAAAGAGACAAAGTACAGATAGTCATACATTTTAAAAAGTAAAGAAAAATAAGTCATGTAAAAATGGAAAATTTACAGAGAGTCTGGATTCTGTATATTATTGTTTTCTTTAAATTTTTTGACTGTAAAGGATCTAAGCACAGAGAGACATTTCATTCTATAGGCTGCTAAGCTAAACCAGCATGTATATTATAAAGGTATTGTGACTTCAGAATTTGGGTCTAAGGATATGATGTTTTAGAAACGAGGTTCTTCTTTTGTTTTCACAGAAGATGAGAACCTGGGAATTGCCTCCAGGCAAATATGGTTTCATGGACCAAGGCCTCCTGAAAGGTTGTCGTGAACACCCTCAAAAACTTACTTCACTCAACTGCTGACTGAGATGAACCTAGCATACAGGATACGCCATGAAAGACCTGATTAACAGCGGCCCCATGTAGCACAAAGCAGTTTAGAGAGAAAAAACTGTGCCCATATTGCCAAATATCGTTTATAAATGTTCTTTTACATTTAAAAGGGGATATGATATAAATATTAATAATTTGCATTGGTATAAATCTTGATTTAATGATACAAATTTAAGGTTAATCTTGTTATATGTATATTTCTGCTCTTGATTAAGGTATTGTGATTGTATAGTTCATTTAAAAATGTAATGTATAATTTAGAAATATAGGTTAATAGATAATCATCTATAATAGTTAAGTTGGTGGTCATGTTGGTTAGATTTTCTACATGTGCATAGATATATTTCAGATGGATATGCATTCTTCATATCTTTCAAAAACTACAGAATATAGCATTTAAAATGTTTCAATAACTTAGGGCTTTTCATGACAATGAGACATGTCTGCTCCTGGCAGCACCAAGCTACTTCCTGAGAAAGATAGGCATCAAAGAGGCTCCTTATGGAGTTGGTTAGCCATTAGGGCAAGAAACTGATCTTGCCTGGACTGTTGCGTAAGCTGGACATGAAGAACCTGCAGAGAGATGACTGTTCAACTTGCCTAAAGGTGAGATGATCCTTTGGGGTTTCTGCCTCATGAAAGGCTCTGTGAGACATTCTGCAGGATACAGAAGAAAGTGACTGAACTGTCTTTGAAATCTCCTGCTTTGTGAAAATGTCTGCTGAATACTATGGGTCTGAATGCCGAAGATGGATGCCCCAACGGTATAGAAGAACTTTGGGTAAATGTCTAGGCAGTGAGATGTCTCTGCCAATTCTAGAGTTTTGAAACTTGCTTTCTATGCACTTCCTGTTTACTTAGGTAATGTTATATTCTTCTGGAGTCTTTGATGGAGTTGAAAAATTTATAGTTTTCCTTAGTTAAGATAAAAGATGAAGTAGATATAAATATTGTAACTGTAATTCTTGCGTGATAACTGTTTTGTTATACTTAATTGTACTATGTCTAAGTTAAAGCCTTGCTTTTTGTTTAAACAGAAAAGAAGAAATTGTGTAGGAGGTCCTTCAGTTCATGCGTTGCTTTCATTGGATAATGAATAAAGAAACTGCCTTGGCCTAGTTGATAGGGTGGAACTTAGATAGGCATAGAAGACAGAACTGAATTCTGGGAGAAAGAAAGCAGAGTGAGAGAACTGCCATGGAGCCTCAAGATCAGCCGTGCTGAATCTTTCCTGGTAAGCCATGACCTTGTGGGGATATACAGATTAATAGAAATGGGTTAAATCAAGATGTGAGAGTAGGCCAGTAAGAGGCTAGCAATAATGGGCCTGGCAGTGATTTAATTAATACAATTTGTGTGTGGTTATTTCAGGTGTAAGCTAGCCAGGTGGCCGAGACAAACAAAGGGCCACACTGCTTATGCAACAGTAATGTAAGTATCTGATATGCAGGTTATTTGATATGCAGCCCTGTGAAGGTGTTGTTCAACCACAAAGGGGTTGTGGCCCACAGGTTGGGAATTGCTGATACAGAAACACCCTGTCTCAAAACAAATCAACTACATGAAAATTTCATAGGAAGGTTTTCTCTTACAAACTCTCTACATAAAAATGGTAAGAGAGAAGGTAGTATATAACTTAGTATAAATACTGAAAAAGCTGAAGTTACAACAAAAAATGAAATAAAGCAGCATTTTACCTTAGCATCCTCCTCTTCCGTAGGATCAGAATCATTAGCATCAGGTTCCTCAAAAACCCTTCAGAGTGAAAACATACAATAAGACATGAGTTTGGGTCTTTGAAAAATCCTGGAGCATGACCAACTGGGTATACTAAATGTATTTTTACTTGTATACTTAAAAGTTATCCTTTGTTTTAAGAAAAGGAAAGACTTTAGTTTCCTCCTCTGCCTCCACTTCTCTCATCAAAGAGTGACAGACAACCAAAGAGTTCCAGGGGTTAAGAAATGATGTAGGAGAGTCTTCTATATATCTGTTGCTTTCATTGGTTAATTAATAAAGAAAATTGCCTGGCCTGATAAGTCAGAACATAGGTAGGCGGGAAAGGCAGAACTGAATTGTGGGAGGAAGAAAGCAGAGGCAGAGAGCCGCCACCATGAAGCTGCTAGGTCAGACATGCTGAATCTTTCCCGATAAGACACAGATTATTAGAAATGGGTTGAATCAATATGAGAGAGTTAGCCAATAAGATGCTACAGATAATGGGCCAGGCAGTGTTTAAAAGAATACAGTTTCTGTGTAATTATTTCGGGTGTAAACTAGCTGGGAGCCGGGCAGCAGGAATGTGGCCCACCATTCCTTTTACAAAAAAAGATTAGACACTAGATAGGCAAATTTCCTCTCTCCAAAACTAGCTAAAAATCCAGTTACTGGTTCACATGCTTTTTACTACAGTGAGAGATACTAACATAATAGGAAACATTATGGAGAAAGACATGGTCTCATCTTCATTGTCTATCTCTGATTAAACAGTAAACTACCCAATTAGAAATGGCAACTTTAGCTCTTAAGCATAGAAACAATGTATCTAAAAGACCCCATTGCTTATC